CTCACCTGAAACCTGAGATAGAAGCAAAACGATGTAAAGCAACATGTCTTAGGAGTTATTAAAGTCAGACACACAGCAGATGAACAATGTTCTTCCACTGCAGCACATTCATCAGTCACACTGTGGTTTGATTTCCTCAAACATTTTAACTCTGAACAGATGAATGATCCAATTGGCTGAGTGGGAGAAACCAGCGAAAACCATTTTAGAGGTTGTTTACTCCAAAAGTTGAATCAGTGGGATTCCTTTGTTCCCAAAACAGTTCTTGCTCAGAGAAATGTTTGCTGAATGTTCACTTTGTGTGTTGCATTATCACCTTATTACAGGTCTGATGCTGTGTGTTTACAGCAGCAGAACACTGAAAATGTGATGCTACAAGATATTCAGTCTTCTCTCAGACTTACAGTTTGGGGGATTTAATGGGTCGATAGGATGTTTTTATTGCAACTTTCTTTCTAAGAAACAACAGCCACATCTGGATGCTGAGAGGATAAAGATAGAGATGATGGTTAAGAATCAGATATCACAGAAGTGTAACAGAGTGTGTCTCCCTCTAGTGGATGTTGTGGAGTTTTCTCTTGTCTTTGCTCTCAGGGTTTTTGTACAGAGTTTTGCTGTTTCCTGTCACTGTGGGCTTCACAGCACAGTAGTACACAGCAGAGTCTGTCACTGCAGCAGAGGAGATCTTCATAGTGATTCGGTTTTTATCTCCACTCACTGTAGCAGAGAGTCCAGCTTGTGTTTCATTTTGTGTTACCGAGAGACTTATGAGGAGCTCTGGAGGTTTTCCTGGATGGTGTCGATACCAGAAGAAATAGTCATTATAAGCAACTGTTTGAGAGTATTTGTAGGTCAGAGTGACAGTGCTGCCTTCTAAACTGGACTCTTCATTCTTGACTGCAGTCAGTTGTTGACAGCTGACACCTAAAAGAAGAGATAAATGTTAAATATTAAAGAGTGGATGTCTGCAACAGTGATTTCTATCAAACAGATCGTTTAAACACAGTTCTTTAAACACAGAAAAGACATTTCTTCTTCCTGCTTTAACCTACCTTTTAATGTGATCACCAACAAAGGAAACATGACCCAGTAATGCAGTGACAGCATCTTCCACACACTATCTGTTATGTTGGTTTACATACTGAATGTATGTGACAGTGGGAGTCCTTTTCTGTTCTGCTCTTTGACAGTGTTGCTCCTCCCTCAACATGTTCCTCCTCTCATATCAGTGGATGTTCTTCAGAATTGTGTTCTTCCATCACTGAACAATTTGAAGTGAGTTATGCCATGAAACTGGGTCGTCCATATGAAGGAAAATTGCAGCTATTTTTGAACCTGCTGTTCCATGAACAGAAAAAAGCTTGGTTGAACTCCACATGGCCTCTGACTGGCAGCTGCAGGCCGACCTGGGAAAGCAGCTGAAGTTCCCCCAGCACATAACAACAATAAACCTCCGCCCAGACATGGTCATCACCTCAGAGGCTTCCAAATACCTGATCATCCTGGAACTTACAGTGCCCTGGGAAGAGCGTATTGAGGAAGCCAATGAGAGGAAACGCACAAAGTACCAGGAACTGGTAGAGGAGTGCAGGGAGAGAGGCTGGAAAACCTATTGTGAGCCCATAGAAGTCGGCTGCAGAGGCTTTGCAGGGCGCTCACTCTGCAAAGTTCTGAGTCGTTTGGGCTTTACGGGGACGGCCAAGACAAGGGCCATCCAATCTGCATGTGAAGCCGCAGAGAAGGCCACAAGGTGGCTTTGGATCAAGAGGGCTGATCCGTGGACTGCTACTGGGACGCAAGTCAGGACTTGATCAACCCCGGCTGGGTCACCTGGGTGAGGGTGTATAATGCTGCGAGACCTGAAACACCTGATGACCCCAGGATACATCACTGAAGATGCGTCCCAGTGCATCCATGAGATGTGTCTTGAATAGATTCATTATACGGCTCATACAATAATCTGCTCACAGCCAAACATGATACAGGTTCATGCGTAATCATGCCAGGATATCAAAGAGGAAATCAAAGACTTTGTTTCATGTTTAATTACTCAATGTATTATTTGCCAACAGACAATGAGGCAGTAGAAGACAGTGAGGCGCAGTCCCAGCCTCGTGCCACAGACCCGGGGGCTTCCTCCAGCCTCCCCGGCATCAGCCGATCCTCCGGTCCGCCACAACAGCCAGCTGCTGATGCCTGTCCGACTGGCCGTGTCCTCACCCGCGCTGTACTGGATTCACAGGAGGACATCATGAGGGCAATCGGCGGCATTAATGAGCCTTGGACCAATTATTAATGTCCTTACAGACATTAATAAAACATTAAATGTACTTGCAAACAAGTAAATTCTGTGTCCTTGCCTTTTAATATGGTTAATATCACATGTTGCCGGGCCCGAATGGCCTCCCGGGCAGGATTGGCATCGACAAGTACAGCGTCTGGTTCATCTGGTGGGGGATGTGCTGCTCTGGCAGTGGGATAGCATGCCGGTGTGCCATATTGTGAAGGACGCCACATGCCATCACAATGCGGCACACCTTTTCAAGTCTGTAGAGCAGTACACCCCCTGTCCGGTCCAGACAGCGCCATCGCCCCTTCAGCATGCCAACTGCCCGCTCCACGACTGATCGCGTGCATGAATGGGCATCATTGTACCTCCGCTCTTGGTCAGTCTGGGGGTTGGTGAGAGGGGTCATCAGCCATGTTTTTAGTGGGTAGCCACAGTCACCTGGGGTCAATTAAACACACTTGTCATTGGGTCGTTTAACACACCACTAACATGGATCACACACTATCGTGAGTGAATGCAGTTGTGCGCTGGGAAAATGTGAGGCTGATCAAGTCACTTTAAACATTATGCATGTGTTTTTTGACATATGTACTTTACACAGAGACAGTAATGGGCTTGTTGGAAAGCGCTGACTCTGTAGTTGAAGCAGCAAAACAGCAATTCACTAACTTAAACCACTGATGAGTAATGATGCTGTGAAAACAGGATGATATTCGGGGGCGCACATGCTCAACGCATGTCAGGGGGATTAATATTAGGACAATTAAATTATTTACTCACCAAGAATCAACCCATCCCGCACCGTGCCAGCTTAGCCTGTTCCCAACCATACTGTTGGTCAGAATGAAGGACTCATGTGTCGAGCCAGGCCATCTTGCAACAATGTTACTTAGTTGCATTTGCGCATCACAGATGATCTGTACATTGATGGAATGAAAATGCTTCATGTTGACATAAAAAAATTCATCTTGTAATGGCGCCTTTATAGCATTGTGTGTGCAGTCGATAGCTCCGATTACATTAGGAAAACCGGCTCTCACTGCAAATTGCGCTTTTATGTCATCCTGTTCAACTGCAGTGTGGGAATTTGATATACCTTGCTGACATTTGGATAATTCCATCCCACACAGCTGGCATGGCTCTGCTCACTGCCGACTGGCACAGTCCCGATCGGTTGGCCAGCTCCCTCTGAAATGACTCTGTGGCCAGGAAGGCCAGTGTGGTCAGAACCTGTATGGGCACAGGTAGGGCATGGCTCCTGGCCGTGTTGCACTCCAACAATGGTTGTAGTTCAGCGCACAGTTGTAAGAGGATTGCCCTCGGGAACCTAAAGCGGCTGATGAGCCAGTTGTTGTCCTAAGCCAAAAAATCCTCTCGGTCTCTGAAACCCGTTCTTTTCGCACTGCTCCATTGGCAATATCCTCCAACGGTGCCAAAGCTGCCATTGTTGTTAACGGGATCTTCTGCACCGGCGTATACTAGCCGACCAGATACTGTGTGTGGAGCGGACTCACCCGGACTCCTTGGTTATCGTCCTCGGTGACTTTAACAAAGGTAACCTCAGCCACGAACTCCCCAAATACAGACAGTTTATTAAATGCCCCACCAGAGAGGAGAACATTCTGGATCACTGTTACACTACAGTGAGTAACGCATACCACGCC